AGACTTTATGGCCCAAAATTAGCTCCATAAAAAATGTCTTGAGACTACTGTATATTTGTTCAGTAGAAATTTCTTCCACTAACTCAAAGTGGCCCACGGGCCAGCAGTTGATGATCTCAGCTGTAGCATAATTTGCAGCTTGGGACACGTTTTATTATTGAACCAAGGAGAAGAAAGGGATCTCTGGACTGTAAAGGTTGCAGACGTCTGGTGTCAGTCATCCAGAACAAGTGAAAAAGAAAAAGCAGCTGAAGATGTGCTCAGTTTCAAGCTCTAAACTGCATGATAGATGTTTTAGTGCCACATATAAAAATACTCTGTGTTCAATTTGAAGAAAAAAAAAACTTGATTTATCAGGTTCAGGTTGTCATTAAATAGTAGTGTGTAATAAAAAGAATAAAAAAAAGAGGGTCTCTGTCCTGCAGACTGACGGCTCTGTACGGGATAGAGGAAGTTCTGGCTCTGCAGAAAGGCGAGACTCTGCTGGTGAACGCTGCAGCCGGAGCCGTGGGCTCTGTGGTGGGACAGATCGCCAAGATCAAGGGCTGCAAGGTGGTGGGTTCAGCTGGCTCCGACGCTAAAGTCGCCTACCTGAAGGAGCTGGGATTCGACGAGGCCTTCAACTACAAAACCGTCAGTTCCCTGGATGAGGCTCTGAAGAAGGCCTCTCCTGACGGATACGACTGCCTCTTTGAAAACGTAAGCGAGGCCGCAGCGGGGCCGGGTTAGTTGGTATTCTTTACACCTGAAGCAAGCTGATAGGAGACTTTTGTCTTCACAACATCAAACCGCAATTTTAGATTAAAAAAATTACCCTAACCTTCCATTTCACTCTGTTCGTTAAAGGTGCTTACAATCTGTAGGTCCCAATGAACAGCRTGCCTTGATGACGTCATCAGTAGTGGTTCTGAACCATGTGCTAACTCTAAATGTTGCCCCATTTTTTAATATACAAATAAAGATATGCAAATTTTACAGATATCCTGCTAAGGTTTGGTGTGATGGTCTTCCTCAGTACATTGGATCCTTCATGTTTGAAAACATGGGTTCAGACACCAAGCTCGTAGCCTGGTTAAAACCAGACCCTGTCCTTCACTTTGCTTCGTACAAGGGTCTGGACTTGATGCATAGAGAAGTGATTCTTGCAGGAGGCGTGGCCTCTGCTGAAGTTTAAAATGATTGGATCAGTTGGC